GCACACGAGATATCAAGGAGGGGACAGACAGTACAGTGGCACATGGAGCAGGGAGCATGTGCTGGCACCCACCTCAGGACAGCCATGGCACCCCCCCCAGTGGCCAGATTAATTCTGCCATACCCACTCTGGTCACTGAACAGTAGATTTGGCAGGGGGAGGGGATTGGATTGGCACTTGGAGTGCATGCAGGGCTAATTTCATAGAACAGGAAGACTTGAAGGGATCTACAGAGGTTGTCTAGTCCAGACCCTGCATAAGGCAGGACCATGGCAGGGGGTCGGACTAGATGATCTACTCAGGTCCCTTCCGACCCTAGAAACTATGAAACTATTCCTATCCAAACTACTTATACAAATTCATTGTCTAACCTATTAGAAAAAAAACTACACAGTCAACCCAAACACAACCATGGGAAAAACTATCCTCCCATGGGTAAAGCAGGAGGACCACAGTGCCTAACTGCAAAGGTTGTTAAAATATGCTTGAGAGGTCCATGAAAGGCTGCCATGGCCCCCACAACAGAAGAAGGCAGAAACCTCATGGTCCATACCAAGCTGATCACAACATACAATTCTTTCTTGACCCCTAGCTATGGCAATCTGTCTGACCCTGAGCAGCGGGGCAAGACCCTGCCTGCTAAAAAAAAGTTTGGCCCCCTGCTGCTTTTGAGGATCTGAACCTAATTGTTAGGTTACCGATGGTGGAGAATGAAACTAAGTGGGGCTGCCACCCAAAGGACCTCTCGGCTGGAATGGCCTCTCCAGCTTTTTACTGCACTGTTTTATCTGAATCTTTATTACACCCTTATGGTTTGGCTTTTTTTCTTTCTTGATTAGCTACATGTGAGATGTGCGGGATGGTTGGCGTCCGAGATGCTTTTTATTCTAAAACAAAACGCTTCTGCAGTGTTTCGTGCTCCAGAAGTTACTCGTCAAACTCCAAGAAGGCCAGCATTCTGGCCAGACTTCAGGTAACGGTACAGAAACCATCTTCTTTATATACTTCTCCTAAAATGCTTGTTTGTTTAAATGCATGTCTGTCTGTGGTCAGTCTGGGATCCGTGCATGTGTTTTAAAAGAATTGGATTCTTATGAACTGAACATATTGACATAGACAATTTGGGGTAAAAAATTGACAGCATGCCATCTATCTGTAGTTTCAGCTGAATGGAAATCTGTTCCTGAGTGAATTATAAAACTGGAAGTTGGTCTTGGGCACTTAGTTAGCAGTAGATCCTGACTGAATTTCAGGTTGCCGTACCTGGGAGTGGGGGGGAAAGATGTTTTGGCCACTTCTGGAGTCTGCTTTTGTGGCTTCAAGTTTCACTTGAGTGTAACTTGTGTAATATTTGCTTGGTCAGCTTCCATTCTTTGTTTTCTTTAAACATTTTTACAGAGCCTCTGGAGAACTGCAGTTTTCTTTTGAAAATTAATTTCTTGTGACATTTTTAAAGCTTCTTAAAGTGGTTTTGTGTATTTGAGTGAGAGGCCTCCTGCACGCTTATTAATAGGTTTTAGGAGGAGCTTGGAAAGATTGTGCTTACTTAACTCTTGTTGTTTCAGGGTAAACCACCAACTAAGAAGGCTAAAGTTCTACAGAAACAACCATTAGTGGCTAAACTAGCAGCATATGCTCAGTATCAAGCTACGTTACAAAACCAGGCAAAGACTAAAACAGGTAACTGTGTATGATAGAGCTGAAACTAATTCTTGGAAATATAAGATTTGAGGTTCACTTCCTAAATGAAATGACTTTCTTTTAGCAGCTGTCCCCGTGGAAGGCTTCAGCTGGGGTAACTACATCAATAGCAATAGCTTTACAGCAGCTCCCGTTACCTGTTTCAAACATGTAAGTACACTGCAGTGTTTTTTGCAGAGGTATTTTAACTGTCTTTAGACACGAAAAGGAACAAAACAGTTGGTTCATACTTTATCAATCGTTTAAAGACACTTTTTAGTATCCCGAAAATTGATTTACAAAGGAATATTTTATAGTGCATTCATTTAAAAGGGAAATCTGCACACTTTATTCTTCTCCTGAAAAGCATTCTGAATATCATCAGCTGCTTGTATGTAATTTAATTTGCAAACTACAAGTTTGTATCGTAAGTCCCAATGAATTTTTATCCCACATTTTAACAGACAAACTCATGGGTTACTTCAAAATACAGAATATAAACCAAACCAACTAGGTAATGAAAAAATGGATAAAAAGGAGAATGCTTGTTAGACCAAGTCAAACATCCTGCAACATGTATAGAAATGATCTGGCAGTTGCAGATTTTTTTCTGTATTATTTTTTAATTGGATTTTTACGGTCAGCTATGTTGTTTAGAGAAGGGGGAGGCATGGAAAACTTTTATAGTTCTCATGGTAGAGTTATTCTGCTGCACTTCTTTTCTTTGTATGTGGTATAAGGGAAATGCAGGAAGTGCTGATTACACATTATTGGACCTTAAGTATCGGTTGAGTAAGATTATACATTTTTTAGCAGCATCTTGCTTGCACGTGTTTGCAGAAATAAATTAATTTATCATTTGTTGAAAATTTTTGGCCAAGACTTTTTCATGGAAAGTTTCATTTTTGAGAAAATTAATTTTTATACAGAAAGCTCCTGCTCTTTCAAAAATACCTTTCATTGAAAAACTGGAAAAAAGCTGAAATATGTTTAAAAAATCTTTACAGAAGTCGCAACTTTCTGCTTAACATTTTAAAAGAAATATATTTTTTCCATAGGAATTTTGCACAGAAAAAATTCATAGGAATTTTCCAGTTTCATGCTAAGTACTGTCAAATTACATATCAACAGGAATTGATAGGCAGTTGGTGCTTTGCTGAAGGACCTCTGTGTTTAAAAATCCTGGTGTTGCATAGAGCAGAGTCCTGCCCTGTGTTAATATATTTTTATGCTTTTGTGCTAAACTCCACGTGCTTGAACGAGCCTGTCTCACTTTGTTTTCAGAATTATATACATGTTGTAATATGTCATTTCGTAAGTACATCAGACAGTATTTGATAAGATCAGCCTTTGCCATTTGAACACAAATGCTATATGGAATTCAGTATAATTCATACTTTTAAATACAAAGTACATGTTAAATACAAATACATGTTCGACTAGGGGAACAGCTTTTTAAGTTTATACGTAGTAAGCCAGTTGCCACTGGTAAGGAGTTAAACTGCTTCTATAACGCCCATGTCCCGTTGGCTCAGGAGTAAAGAATTCAAGGTTACAAGCACACTTATTTATTGCTTGTAACAATAGAAAGTGTTTTGGAGGACAAGAACTAATAACTTAGCACTTTGGTCCACCAAACCTTCATATGAAGGCTGGGTGTATAGTTTGTCTAGGATGCTAAGTCAGTTCAAAAGTTTATTTTAAATGGGGAACAATTATACCAAAATGTATAGGCTGTACCCTTGAAAAGAAGTCTGACAAGCATGTTGTTTCTCTGCATATCTGGCTCATCACTACAAAGAAGGGGTGGCACCCTAAACCATAAAAAGAAATTTGTTGTTATCATGTTACCGTAGTACCGGTTGTTGTTTTTGCTCAATGTACTATATATTCCCAGAATCAGTAAGCCTTAATTCCTCTTAAAAATTTGTTTAAAAGCCTTGCCATAAATTCCTTCTATAGCTATTGCTGAAAAGCCTGTTCTATTTTTTTACATTCCCCTTTTATTTTTATTTTGGCTTCTGTAAAACTGTATGCATTTAAATATGGCCTATAACAAACCTAAGATATGAACTTTATAATCACCAAAAATGCTAACAGTACAATATTCTTCATGATGAGCAAGGTGAACGAGATCTGTTTTTAGAATTATAAAACACCCGTAACTCCCATTGATATCTGTTGGGGTGCCCCATCCACCTCAAAATTTGGCTATTTGTATGTGGGTGACTAAACTTAAGCACCCAGAGATGATCATTTTGACCTTAACTCTTAGTTTCCTGTGCTTAAAGAACTTTGTCAACACTCTTTGAGCATTTATACACATGCTTCGGGAGAAGGGTTGAGGGGTGCTTTAATTGAAGCGGCTCCAAGAGCTGCTCTAATTAAAGTGTCATATGTAACTGCGTCCCCGTGCTGAAAAATGGCAGTGGGGGTGCTTTAACTAAAGCTCATCAAAAGAGCTTAAGTTCAAGCCCCCCTGCCAGCATTTTTCAGTGCAGGGATGATGATACATGTGATGCTGGAATCTGCTGGATCATGGTAATTACCACATTCCCACAGACTCAATTAATCGAGTCTGCTCTGATGAGCTGTAATGTTAGAGCAGGCTCACTGTATGTGTATAGGCATGCTATAATAGTAATTGGGTGGTATGTATTACCTGTCGCATATTTTGGGCATGAATGCACGT